TGCTTTTTGGGAGAGTTGCAGATGAGCATGAATTATAACAATATGTTACTTATTATTATACATCTTAAATTCTAAAATGATTTAATTAAAATAACTTTGCTCCAACCCAACAGAAAAACCCTTTCGTCTGCTCGGGTCTCCAGAAATTCCCGTCATATATATATATATATATATATATATATATATATATATATAAATATATGTATATATGTATATATATAGATATTATATATATATATATATATATATATATATATATATATATATATATATAATATATATATATATATATATATATATATATATATATATATATATATATATATATATATATATATATATATATATATATATATATATATATATATATATATATATATATATATATATATATATATAAATTCTAAAATTCTAAAATGATTTAATTAAAATAACTTTGGTCCAACCAACAGAAAAACCCTTTCGTCTGCTCGGGTCTCCAGAAATTCCCGTCATATATATATATATATATATATATATATATATATATATATATATATATATATATATATATATATATATATATATATATGACGAAAGTTTTGTAAATCAAAGCATTCACTGACCCATTTATCCATTTTCATAATGGAGTCTGTTCAGATATTTCAAATAGTTCTGCAGTAACAAGAAAGAAAAGCCTGGTCTCATTCATCCATTTCTTTACAAATTTACAAATCCAACCTACTTGGATTTCTGTACGCATAAAGTGTACATATATTATGGCACATGAATAATCTATGAGCGCCTATATGTGGATGTAATAATGATCCATTATCCTCTCAGAGTTAGGGTAAGCTGTCATTCTGTTCAAGGTCATGTCTGACTTTCTGCATGCTGTAACAGCGCTCTCTGCTGGTGAATTATAAAATTATTTAATAAGTAGTTTCAGGTTTGCTTTTAGATGTTCGTCTTTGCAACTACGAAGACATTTTCATGTAGAAGTGGCGCTTGTGTCCCTTAATAAACTACAATCGTCTCAGAATGTGCATGAAAATCTGTATGGAAAGGCGTTAGCAGGTTGCTGTCTGGGTTTTGTTGTTGCAATTTTTGCAGTCACGTAATTATAATAAAGATTTTTTTTTTATTTGTGCAGTTCACAATTTTGTTAAGATTAGGTAACATGGTTTTATTTACGTGTATGCTTGAAACATTAGTTTTTGCAGAAAACCATTCAGTCTTTTATTGAGGAACATATTTTACAAATTTTTGCAAACAATAGGCTTAAAAGTGACAATTTTTCTGATCACATTTTGACATCTGATCAAAATGTGACTCCTTCAATGATTTGATATCAGACAACACCTCTCCAATAATCCAAATGAGCATGTGTGAGTAGTTCATTCATGTTAAGAAGCATTACATTTTGGTGGTAGAAAGTGAGTTACCAACACTCAATTAACAAAGAGCCCTGCAATTTACAGTAAGAACAAAACATAATACCATCAAACTGAATAATGGATGATTGCAAACGTCCATATCTGTATACGTGGTATTTTTGAAAATGTTTTCAGCATAGATTCAAAATGATACCAGACAGGAAGTAATTCAGGAGTCAGGAAGTCGGAAGTTCCATTTGTTGATGCTCTTCACAGAAAAGGCTGATTATCCCGAGGAAGTTCTCGCTGTAGTCATCTTGTGGCAAACATCAACTCAGCTTATTCTCTCAGGCATATCTCACACTGTGTTTGCCTGGAAAATAGGATGTCCGGGAACTGCAGTATTAGATGTGCAGTCTGGTGGAATGCAGCAAGAAGGGGAAACAGTTTTACTGTAGCTCCATCTTTCACGGTAACCTTTTCCACATAGCTGATTCTTCCCTCTTGAAACCAAACCAACTGTGTGCGAAAAACAATGACTAAGGTCTTGTCTCAAGCTCTAAAGACAAAATCAGCAATGTGTTTGAGCTAACTGTCCCAAAGTGTATGTGTGGTCTGCATGTTAATTAATAAGTTGATTTCTCTTAGGAAAATTGTAGGCTCTATTTATTTTTCAGCATCCGAACGAATGAGGATCGGCTTCCAAAATGGCAGCCTATCCAGCTTTTCAAACGATGCCACCATGTGGAAGGCAAGAGTAAATAAAAGAGTAACATCTTTTAAGCCTTGCCAATCTGTATCTTTCTCAAGACCTTAGAAGTTATCCGCAATCAGCTCCATTTAAACTGCAAAATGTAAATTGGTCAGCAACAACTAACCCTTAGATACAGGAAAATTCTTGTTAGCAGCTTATTCACATTATAGTTATGCAAGAACTTGAATTCAAAGAAAACTTGTCCCTAAATACGTGAAACACCACAGACATTTTGCCTTCGAGCTACCCTCCATGTTTCTAATGAGAAATGTTGCTCCTTGTGTTACCTAATCAAAGGAAAAGTCACTTTTAGGTCAGACATCTGCAAAGTCACAAAAGGTCAAAGCTACAGAATCTTTTTGCTGGCAAAATAATAAAAAACAGGGTAGAAGAGAAAGATGGAGGGTGCCCAAAAAAATATATTCATCTGCCTAAGTTCCCATCATTCCAGCCAGTGAGATGATGCATTTCCTGTTTCTCTTTGCTGGCCTTCGTTTTGATGTTTCTAATCAATGTAATTAATTGCATACTTTAATTTCCTTGTTTGCCCTGTGTATGTGTTGTTTCCAATAAATCCTGTCAGCCCTCCGCTCTGGTAAACAACCTGTTGAGGCTGGGGTCACACTGTAAATACCAGAACATCTATTTGCATCTATTATTAGTAAAATCGGTGTTATTTACTACTTCATTCACGCACCTTTGTTTTTACAGAGGCCGCAGTGACGTGCTCAGGGAGTCAGATAAAGAGGTTTTCTCACCAATGCTTTCCTGTTATTTTCAAGGCTCCTTTGTTTTGGTTGCAGGACTTCGACCTGCTGGTTCTCAAGGGAATTAGAGGAACACTTGAGTCTGAGCACTTGAGAAACGCTGCTGCCTGCATATAGACGGCCACCATGTCTGTCTGCTCGGCCATGCGTGTTAATCTGATTTCATGCTATTCTAAATCTGTGGGGTGAATGTTTTTTTTTTTTTTTAATATATTTTAACAGTTTCAATCCACTGGAATTTACTGCCGTTCTCCTCGCCTCTATTTTTGACAACTTTAACCAAATTTTCCGTAATTTCTATAAGCTGAGACACAGAGCAGCTACCGAATCTAAAATTAGCCTCAAGATATTAGTATTTTCTTTTTGATAAATAATGAATAATTAGGTTTATGAGTTTTGCAGTGGTTTAAATGTTCTTGTCTTTTGATGGCCTCTGGATGATGCTCTCCTGGAGTTATTTTGGTTGGATGGGTTCAGCGTTGTTCCCATACTTGAAGATCCAAAGCCTTAAAAAATGTCATTATACCCTTCCCAGGCTGTGAAATGTCAAAAGCTTTTTTTGTTTGTTTTTTTCAGATCGGAGCTTGACATTTTTGAGAGTTTAGTCTACTCCATATGCACAGCTATTGGTTAGGTATTAAGCAATAGACAATAATCAATCAGACATGGGTGTGACTAGTGAAACTGAACTCGATTTTCCGAACATTGTGGTCAACCAAAGAAAATTCCTAAATTTAAAGGCTGACAGGTTGGTTTAAATAGTTTAAAACAAACAATCACATAAAAAAAAAACACACACACACACTATAGTGTTTATTTGTAATATACGACAATCTGTTTCAATGTGTACACTTTCAACTTATTTTATTATTCTTTTTAACTCTCGTCCTCCGAGTTTGTCAGTTCCTTTTTCCACTTGTGATGTCATTGGAATCATTTAACAATCCCTATGTTTTAAATGTAAAATTCATTTGATCAATTTGCACATAATTTCTTAAAATTAGGTAAGCAAATACTATTTTTTTATGATAAAGATCAGAAAAGTCTTCACTTCCTTCTTTTTTAGAACATTGCATTTCAACATTTCACACTGGGTCATGTCAAATGAATGATTTTTCTTTTTCATCATAAATTTGCATATAATTTTGTACATCTCATAAATGTTGATATGCCAACGCTTCCTCTTAGAAGCAATCTGCTCACTTGATGTTGAGATGTCGGCTCTCAGTTTGGCAATAACAATAAAAAGAGCTAACGCTCAAACAGTCGGCTGAGCTATAGCAATCGTATGTCACTGATAAATTCCAAGCTCTTGCAGTGTCACTTTGAAAAGAAAAAAAAAAACCTGCTTTAAATTCCTGGGCAGACACAACAACAACAGGAAGAAGGACCATTTTCACAGGTGTCAGGAAGCACAGGAAATAAACAGCCTGAATACGGGAAAACATTTTCCTACCAGAAAGGGTGAGAGGTGAGGTTAATAGGAGTTATTTATAGCTAAGGGAGAATTATTGTGAAAATTTGTCAGTTATTACTGAGTTATTTTATTCAATAACATAATATTGGCAACATGCTGTATGAATAAATAAGCTTGTTAGAAATGTGTCTTTTTCCAGATTGAGTAAAAGTTCATGACACTTCTCTCATAATGTCTGTGTATTTCAGCATTTTTAACAGATTTCTACATCAGTGAGACATTTTGCTTGCTTGGGAACACAGATCCACTTGATTTTCTACCTTTGTGGATGTAAGGCCACCTCACTATTTAAGTCAAGAATGTGTAAAAAAAATAATAAATCCCCAGCTTCAGTATCCTGGCATACAAATTTGAAAAAAAAATCTCTTCTTCCTCAGGGTACGCCCTTCTTTGCCTTCTTTTGCACATCTTGTTAAGCTCCAAAGCTTCTATTATTTATTTGCCTGTGAAGCAGATCTTTAGAGCTTCTCTGCAGATATTATTTCTCTGCAGAGAATGTATGGCACAGTAAAATTCAGAAATACTAAAAGAATGTTTGAAAATGTTCAACTTAAAGTTTGCATGAACGTGAGGTACTTGCAAACCAGCAAACTCCAGCAGCTCCAGGAATGTGCACATAAGACTTCAATTGACAAAAGTGACAAAAGTCAGTTATAAGTTTTTATTGCTACTTTTGATGTTTTTCTTCCCAATAAAAATCAGATAGTCATGGAAATAAGTGTTAAATGAACAAACATTTTTGCTATAAGTTATATTTAATGATAAACAATATACAATGCAAAAGATCACCAGAAAACACAAAGGCTAATATAAATCAAACATTCCTTCATTTATATGTATTTCAGTCATTTTCCGAATGCGATGAAAACAAACAACCAAATCATCAGATGAGTTATAAACCAAAAGTAACCAAAACGTTTGTGGATGAAGTAGCACTTATTTCACCTACTTCTAACCAATGATACGCTTTCACACATCCTGTAAAAAATGTTGTCAGTATGTATCAACATCTAAAAAATTATTAAAATAACCATGGGAAAAAAATTAACAACATAATGTCAACATTTAGAATGCATTTTTCTCTTTCCAATTTAAATCTCAGAAGAGAGTTTTAATTCTGAAAAAGAAGTCCTGTAAAAATTTCTAACAATTTTGCCTTTATGGACATTATACTTCATCTAAGGTCACGTTTAGCTTTTCTGATTTGGAGGCATATTGTTTTTGACCTAAATGTTACATCGGCAACATGGAAATCTAGTTATCCATGAAATTTCGGGACATTTCCACTATCAAGTTGTTAGTTCTAGCATAGCAGTCTGCTTTAACAATTCTGCACATTTTATTGGTGTCATGAAATTTGGCTTTGTAAATATTTTCTACTCATTCTAACGTCTTTGAGTATGCAATATAAGAAACTGTAATGTGTATTTTGATTTAATTTGATATCACATCAGGCTTTATCAAACCTCATAATGGAAAATGTTTTTAAATAAAAGCATTAATTAAAGAGCAGAGATAAAACTGCATATGTATGGAAAAGATGAAAGTAAAAATCGAACAAGCTTTCAAATGCTGGTCAAAAGGTTTTTAGTTAAAACATACATTTTGGTTTATTTATAAATTAATGCTACATGTGGACTGAACATTTGAAGGGTAGTTTCTCTTTTTGTCAGCGAGGGTTCAGTCTTTTTGGAGCGGTGGATCTGTCTGTGCTCTGTGCAACCACTTGTCCTGATCCCACTTCAGACCCTGAGAAAACAAGTGAAGGAGTTCATTTATTTTTCCTTCCTCTTTGCAGATCTACTGAGATCTAATGCGATGCAATGTCACTTGAGAGCAATTTGTTGGAAAGCACAAACTCACCTGTTTGTGGTCCAGCTTTGAGCTTGCTGGCAATTTTGGCGAAGAATGTGAGGGTAAGACAAGCTCCAGTTTCCCTGTCACAAATGCCTCCTTTGCAGCTGCAGGTCTTGCGGCACTCAACCCCATAGGTCCCATATGGGCAGTCTGCAAAGGAAAACACTAGTTTGTCACAAAAGTCCAAATTAAATAAAATATATTTGAGTGGAGAAACGATAGTGCATATAAATACAACATTTCAATATGGATGATCAAATTAGGTCTGGAGATAAGGCTTATTAATAGACTATAGGACTATGTACAAAAGATGCAGTACTCAAAAAAACGACAAAGATTTCAGGTCACACCTTTGCAAATCCCGTATTCGTCTCCATAATCGTCCTCATCCTTATAGAACTCGCAGAACAGCCCCGGTCCGCACTTGACGCCGTGCATCCCCGACACCGTGCGGTAGCAGTGCTCGCTTCTGCCGGCCGCGCAGACCTGGCAGCAGCCGCAGTCGTCCAGGACGGTCCGCGTGCAGCGCTGCGTGTCGCCGCAGCGGTCCACGCTGCATCTGTCCGGGCAGTTCACCGCATACTTCACGCCGGCGCTCCACGCCTCAGCCTCGTGCAGCGTGAGTGAGGAGAGCACCGTGAGGAGCAGGAGGGACATCGCTGGATGCGGGGCGGCTGGATAGAGCATGCGGGGACGGTTGGAGGAGCGGCTCGTCTGAACGACTCGGGCTGACTGACCCCGCGGTTCATCAGGTTGGAGGGTTATCAGCAATGAACAACTTTGTTTTCGCCGATGGCTAATTTCCTCATTCCGGTGTTTCTTTCTTTTCTTTTCTTTTTTTTTTCTTTACCCAGCAGCCTTTTTTTAGAAATCCGGCTTGGAAGTGGGATTAACTGGGAACCTCCATCCAGGAACTGAAGTTGGCAGGACCTGATGTCATGAGTTATCTTTGGTTTGTTTTTGTCTCAGTGACGGAACAGCTCAGCGTCAGATGGCAGCATGAGGACCTGGGAGGATGTGGAGTTGTTCCCTTATAACCGATAGGAAGCATAGGACTATGTTTACGTTTAAAATAAATTCTGTGTACCTATTAAATAGTCACTGGCAGTGAATAATCAACGTAGTCAATCATCTTTTTTTCTTTGCTTTAAATCTCTGAAAAACAAAATAATTGAATTTACAGCATGAGTCATGTTGCACCAAAAAGATGCAACAGCAAAACTGTCTATGAGAAAAACGAGAGGAGACTGTATTTATATCTTTCCAGCCAACAGCCATCACTGTCTGCAAAAACTCTTGTAAGAATTTTAATTGACATGAGTTACAATGACATTTTATTTCCCTTTTGGGATCAATATAAATATGTTTGAATTTTTTTTAATTGAACCATGACAATATCTCCTTCATGCTTCAAAGTAGTAACAGTCGACCCATACAAAGGGATGCAGTTCTCTGTGATGTGAAGGGGGTTTGGGGGGAATCTAAAAATGATCAATAAACATATATTTTTTTAAAAAATTGATTGACCTTATTTCTGAGTGTGTGCCTAAATGTGACATGAATCCCGAGAAAACCTGCTAACCCCAGTGCTTGGGGTATCATGCAGCAATTCACTGTGTTTTTGAGTTAAAAAATGTTTATAGTTGACATGAAATTTGAAAATATCACTTGATAATTAGGTGTTATTGGAAGACTGGAAGATTAAAACCTAAACTCCAGCTATGAAGTTGGAGTTTAGGTATTAAACTCCAACTTTAACTTGACTTTAACTTAAACAATAACTAAAACAATATTTTAGTTATTGTTTTAAAAAAAACAATGCTTAGCCTGGTGGTCCACAGGCTGATAGTACACTGGGGGAAAACCCTGTGACTTGCTTACACATGTTACCACCAACTAACTCATTCAAAAGTGACATTTCTCTGACAGACTCTGGCCGGTTCTCTTCTGTGATGAACCTCAGCAGTGAAGCTAAATAGCAAATCATATGTGGCTGCAGGGAAAAAATAATCAACATTTACTAATCATCATCACTGAATTTAATGCCTTGTTTGGGTCGCTCAGAATCTCGGCCCTGACAGCAGATACCAGAATGTTTTTTGGGTCGCCATGGTGACAAAAAGTTGATATGACGATGACAATTCAACTAAATTTTCCACCTTTCTCTCTAAATAGACAATGCAAAGGATTTTACAGATGGCAGGTAAAGTACAGCTTCTCTTTCTCGTATTTATCGGCCTTTTTGTTGTTGTTGTTGCTTGTTTACTTCCTTTGGTCATCAGCTGCCATCTTGTGATCTTTGCTGACAATCAAATTATTGCCCCATGTAAGTCATGGCCTCAGCTTTGTTATTGAAACGTTTCAATCTTAGACTTCTCTATTTACGGGATATTATTGTGGAAGTTCTGGTCTTCAGCTTTTCCCTGGTAAAACTTCAGTCCAACCTTCATGATTTTCTTAGAGAGCAAACATTTGTCTTTAAAGTTAGACTTGTGCATTTTTTTCCCAACATGAATGTAGTTAAACGCCAACATTAACCACAGTCTTCGTAGGAAGCCTGAAGACATGTTAGGATTCTGGATTCTTATTTTCATGTTGCAGCCTGCTTTCTGGGTGAACTTTGTTGGACAGCCAGACCTCTATCGAGTACTCTAAAGTTACTCTTAGATGTGAGTGTGTGTGTGTGTGTGTGTGTGTGTGTGTGTGTGGTGTGTGTGTGTGTGTGTGTGTGTGTGTGGTGTGTGTGTGTGTGTGCATGAGTGTATGTCCTGTGTGCCTCTCTGCTGCCCCAGTGATGAACTGGTGTCCTCTCCAGGATGGACGCCACCTCCGGCCCATTGATTGCTGGAGATACACCAGACCCATGCAACCCTACAAGAGTTGGTGTGTATAAACAATGGGATGTTTTATCATTTGGCTGCAAGCTGTTTGGTTTATATCTTTAATCAGGTTTGCAGTTATTATTATTAATATTAGTGTATAATTTGTATAGTTGGTATTTTTGTCGTTTTTAATACACATGGAAAAACTCATTAGCTTTTTCCCACTTGTCCTAGAAAGATGTGTTGTTATAATAACATAAAATGTAATAATAAATAATACCAAATGAACTGATATGTGCATCCCAGGAGGTAGCCTACTCACAAATACCTGCATAGCTTTTTGCGGTTAAAGGTGGATTTACTAAATGTTAAATAGAAGAAAATGCAAAAAAAAAAAAAAAAAAAAAGGTATCTTGATTGAAGCCCAAACAATGCATGCAGTAACAGTCATTTTCTGTCAGATCAAAGCTTTTCCATGAAAAGCCTGCAGGATTTTTGCGTGATGCGAAGTTTGCCCTGCATTGTCCAGCGCCAACCAAACGCATTGGTGAGCCATCACTCCGAGACGCGCCGTGGCGCTAAAGTGGCAGCCCGCCGCCCCCTCGCATCGGTGGATAAAGCTCCGCAGAAGAAGCGGGGGAAACGCAGGGGGAAGGCTGACATGATATGTGCGTCCGAGGGAGACCTCACTGGGACGGGACGGGTAACGCAAAGCAAACAACCCCCTCGGAGGCTTCGCCGTCAAGGTAACCGACACGCCTGCGGCCCTCTTTCGCTCCACCGCAGCCAGGTGAAATAGCTTTTCACTGTCACACGGCGAGGCGTTTCTGCCGGGAGCTGTCAGAAAGCAGGCGGAGGTGGGGCTCGGTCTGTCGGGCTTTTAATGCGAAGCGGACTAGCAGCAGCTGCAGTGCAGCCAGGCAGCCAGCGTTAGCTCAGCTGTCACCGCAGATGCAGAATAGTGTTACACCGGCTGAATGACGCGGCGGCGTCCGCCGTTCAGATTCCCATTGAGCAGCTCGGTGTTTGTGTTGCTGCAGCCTCCAGGCACCGAGCCAGGAACAGAGATGTCAAGACTCATATCTTGGCAAAAAACACTAATAAATGGGCAGGAAAAATTGAAACTTGAAGCGCAGGAGGATAATGTCACTATGTTTGAATAATTAAATGATTCTCTAGGCTGCTCGTTTGTGCCTATTTGCTCGACTCTGATTAACTTGAATGAATACAGTTGTCCTCTGTACCTCAAATACTACTACTTCTTCTTATTTTTATTATTATATTTATTGACATGTAGCTGCCTGGTTTGCAGTGGTTATGAACGTTTGCACTGCAGCAAGAAAATCTTGAGGTCAAACACTAGTCAGGGTGAATGCATGATCTCCCTTTGAGTGTGTGTGTTCTCACCAGGTTCTCTGACTTCCTCCCACAATCCATTGTTTCTCCCTAATTACCTTTAGTGATCAGTGTGTGTGCGTGGTTGTTTGTCTTGTGTGACTCGTTCAGGATTCAGCCCACATCCCGACCTGTGTGATAGGCACCACTCTCCCAGCGACCCTTCAAATATGAGTCAATAGCGATGATGGATAAACAATTTGATAATATCTGCAGCTGGCTTTTGACTGGCAGCCAGAGTGTAACCTGCTGTGGATCTGGTCATCCTGGAAACAGCAGCTTAAACTGATAAGTCAGCATCCTCTTCCAGCTGATCTTAGCATTTTCCTTCATATGTCAAATGTAGGTGATTAGGCGGTTTAAGTAAACCAGACGTATTTGGAATGAATGAAGTGAAATGAGATGTATTCCATTTTGAAGTTATGTGTCCTCAGGGTTTTTTGGTAACACTAGAGATTTAACATAAGCCTCCACAAGACCTCACATTTCTCTCCCCATGATAGGATAACACAAAGTGGTGCATAATTAGGAAAAGTCAGTAAATGACACTTCAAATTCAATACAAAAGAAAAGTCTGGAAGAGGTGTGCCATGCACTGATTTTGACTTCTCCCTACTCTGACACCTAGAAATAAAATTCAGTGATAACGACTTCTTTGAGAGGTTACCCAAATCACAAATAGATCCCACCTGCATAATTTAGTCTTAGTATAAATATAGCTTTTCTGTTAAGCTCTCAGAGTTTTGTTAACGATTGTTAGTGAGCAAACAATCTTATGAAGACCAATGGACTACACCAAACAAGTCCTAAAAAAGTTGTGGAGAAGTTTAATGCAGAGTTGGGTTACAACAAAAAAACACCAATTCATCAACCTTTGAACATCTCATTGTTCTGACTCATTATCATCTGAAACTGGTCTGAAAAGGGGACAACTGAAAACCTAAAAAGACCTGGCTGTTCACAAAAAAACGGAAAGCCTGCTCTAGTTGGCAAAATGTAGGAGCTGCAGTCACCCAGAATGCAGGTGAAAAACCAAATTGACTGCACAGTGATTAGTCATGCATACCACAGCCTGTATGGGACAGGGACAAGAACAAAGCCATGGTTGAACCAAAGAAAGGACACTGGAGGAGATGAGACCAGAAAGTGTTTTAAAATAGTAATTTGTGGAAAGCCAATTGTAAAACAGGCACCAATAATGCCTGTTTTAGAGAGCATGGTGGCATCATGCTCTCTTGTTGTTTTTCTTCAGCTCAAACAGGGAAGCTATTCTTGGTGAAAAGATGTATGAAGCTGAATTCATACATCATACAATAATGATCCTGGAAGAGCGCATTGTTTCCAGACGTCATCATAGTCTGTAATCACAAAAGGATATTTTCCGGAACAAATGAGAAACTAAAGGTTTTATTTGGGGGGGTGGGGGGGGGGAAAGGATAAAAAGGGAAATTGCAATTAGCCCCACATCTGCTGCTTCACATTTCTGGAGCTTTCTTGCTTTGGTTGCCTCACTGGTCGAGCCTATTGCTATATCTAAGCTTGGTGTTATTTTTGGACTGGGTGGAAACCGTATAGCCCCCTCAAGCCTTTGGCCTGGCAAGAGACATGAGATTTTCAGACTATGATCAAAGTCACACACTCGGTAATA